GAAAATAAAAAGGGGGGATACCTCAGGCCACCAGTTTCACTGAATTACTTAATAATCACATCAATGACAAAGGCCCTGCCTTTCAAGGGTGACAGTGTCTCATCTAAAGAGACCTGGCTCTGAACAAGCACCTGTTGCTCCAGCGGCCTGTGCAGAGCTTGTGGCGATTACCTAATTGGTCCCCCAGCACTGTGTGAGGCGAGTGTCCTCACTGCCCAGATGGCAAGGACAGGAAGCCACACTGGCCACAGGGATGGCAGCTGCGCTGGTCGTGCTCACCAGATGCCCCTGCAGCTCTGCGGACAGGGCACTAGCGGTGGCCCTAAGAGTTTGTCAAGGAAGTGAGGGGTGAGATAAGCAGAGGCCAAGGTCACACGAGCCAAGTCCAATGCCTTCCCAGCTCGAGGGGATAGCCTCTTGGCAGGGCCATGGTCCATGGCCCTTCTGTCCTCTGCCCTCCCTGCCCACTCCACGTGACTTACCGGAGGGCAAGTGAGACAGGGGGCAGGGACCTCGTTCTTCTCAGGGCCGCCCTTCTCAGCCATGGCACAGAGCCCGTTCTGCACAGCCCTGAACAGCATGGGGTTCAGGTCTCCGTACTCTCCAGAGGCCACTTCAATGACTGGGGACACAGAGCCTGTACTCAGGGGGTCTCACCTTGCTTTCCCTCCCGGGCGTGTGGGGAGGTCAAACAGCAGTGGAGCGCCCTGTGCCTCCCTCCACCATGTCTTGGCACCCAGAGGCACTCACTGAAGTCTGCTGGGTTGTGGTAGGTGGGGCAGTGTAAGCCCAGCCCCTTAAGGTAAGGGATCAGGTTGGTGACGATACCCTTGAAGATGCACTGACCCTGGCTCAAGATGTAAAGCTGCAGCAGAAAAGGAAGGGTGAGAAAAATGTGACTGGCCAGGCATGGTGGCGCACACCTGTAAGTCCCAGCAGTCCAGAGGCTGAGGCAAGAGGATTGCTGTGAGTTCAAGGCAGCCTAGGCTGCAAAGTGAGTTCAAGGCCACTTGAACTCTTGCTTAAACTGTATAGTGAGACCCTGTCTCAAAACAATATTGCAACCCCTAGGCAGGCAGCGTCCCTCCAACATCGCTCCCGACTCCCTTCTGTCTGTCCCTCCATCTCAGATCAATTTTCTTCAGGGCCCATAGATACTCACCTTTTTTTGCTCTTCTTTTTTTTTGCAGAACTGGGGATTGAACTCAGGCCCTTGCACTTGCCAGGCAAGCGCTTATTCTACTGAGCTATCTCCCCGGCCCCAATACTCACCTTGTCAAACATCTCAAAGAGCTTGGCACTGGGCTGGTGGATGGTGCAGATGACAGTGCGACCCCCGTGTGCCAAGGACTTCATGAGAGAGACCACTTGGAAACAAGAAGCGCTGTCCAGACCACTGTCCAGAGAAAGGCCACCAGGATGCCCAGTGAGGTGGGTGGGGCCAACAGGAGGGAGTCTCAGGGGTGGGGCAGCTGCTGTGAAGGGGATGGAGGTGGCAGGAAGAAGCCCCTTTAGCCAACACCATATCCTGTGTACTCTGTATGGTTCAGACATTTGTCGGTCCACTTTTTCTTTTTTTCTTTTCTTTTCTTTCTTTTTTCTTTTTCTTTTTTTTTTTTCTTTTCTTTTCTTTTTGAGACAGCATCAGCTCTCACTATATAGCCCAGGCTGGCTTCAAATTTACATCAATCCTCCTGCCTCAGCCTCTTGAGTGCTGGGATTACAGGAGTGCACCACCTGAGCACCTGTTGTATCAGGTACTAGAAATTACAATAATGCATAAATAAGACTGGTCAGGAAGGAGAGACAAACTCGAGTGATTTTAGGGAGTCTGGAAAATGCCAAAGCAACACAGGTGAAAGAGCTGGGAAATAAGCCGTGCTTGTAGCATGGTGGTGGAGAGAAGTCAGAAAAGCTTTCTGGCATCTGGAAGAAGAGCTAAATTGATGAAGGAGGAATGAGGAGGATGGAGGTGAAGGGTGTTCTGGTGGGAAGACAGCATACACAAGCTCAGAGGCACGAAACGCATGGTTTGGCCAGGGAATCACTAGCAATTCAGCGTTATTAGAGCATAAAATACAAGACATGATAGGCAAATAGGTTCCAACCAGGACCTCATAAGCCACCTGACCATTCTCAGGGCAAATGGGACACACTGCATGCTGGGAAGCTGGGGAGGAAGTCTCACTAGACTTGTCTTTAGAAAGTCCTTTCGGGTTGCTGGCTGGAGGGAGGACTGGCTGGGAGAGACTGGGGCTGGCAGACGAAAGTGTTGAGACGTCCTGAACCCAAGTACTGGCACTAGAGAAGGGGCCGGGCATGTCTAAGAGCTACCACAAGGAGGTAGCATCAACAGGACTTGGTGACTAATGACTGTGGGGGAGGACAGGGAGGCATCAATCAAGGGGACAGCTGGATCTCTGCCTCCATGAAGGATGGGGATGCTGGCTGCAATCGGGCTGGAAGGATGGAGGTGAAGAAGAGGAGTCAGCTCTTATCCAGTCCCCTGAGGCTGCAGGGGAGGCGCTGTCCTCAGCAGTAGAGAAGACATGGGCTCCAGCCCAGGCTCAGGGCTGAAGGGAGCAGGGAATCACGGTGCCAGAACAGGGAGAACTACCTGGTGGGCTCGTCAAAGAACATGACAGGCGGGTTGTTGACCAGCTCCAGGGCGATGGCCAGACGCTTCCTCTGCCCGCCTGAGAGCAGGGCTGTCCTCGTGTGCGAGCAGGACATCAGGCCCAGCGCCGTGAGGATCTCTGTCACCTGGACCCATGCCCATGGCCCCCTGGTCAGTATCAGAGCCTCCGCTTCCCCCAGCACCGCCCTGATTTTGCACAGCAGCTTCCCCAGGCCCACTGGGCCATCCCCAGGGGCCTCAGAGCTCAGAGCCTCCCAGAGCCCAGCTGTCCCCTTGCCCCCTCCTTACTTACCAGCTCTTTCTTCACCTCCTGCTTCTCACTCAGCTTCAGGTTGGCAGAGACCTAGGGCCCCGAGCAGGCAGGAAAGGTGTGAGAGGAGCGCCACCATGGCCCTCCCGGGAGAGGGAGAGGGGGAGGGGCACGGCAGACAGGAGAGGGGCCGGAGAAGGGGACATCCACCCAGCCCTCACCATCATGGCTTCTAGCACGGTGAGGTGCGGCAGTAGCATGTCATCCTGCATGATGTAGCAGGACATCTTGCGGAATGTCCTCAGCTCCCTCGGCCTCCCGTTGACCAAGATCTGCCCCTTCATTCCACACTCCCTACAGGACATTGGTTGGGTCAGGGCCTATGTCATCACGCAACACTTCCTGAGTCCTACCCCCAGCCTCATCTTCACCTGTATCCTGCCAAGATGTTCATGAAAGTGGACTTGCCAGCCCCAGAGGGGCCCATGATGCCAATCAGCTCCCGACGGCAGAATTTACCCGATAGGCACTTGAGGAGGGTCTTATAACCTGTGGTAGAAAGGATGGGATTTTTGATGAAGGCTACAGTGAATGGACACACTCCCCAAACTCTTGGGAGCAGCCCAAGGGCTAACAGTGGAAGTAGTCGGCGGTCTCTGCTCAGTTTGTGGTTCAGAGGGTGACCCTCAGAGTCCCAGCTGTGACCCATACCCTCTCATTTTGTCCTTCTAGAAAGGACCAACAGTAAAGCCAAAGCATGAGGGGTGACAATCTTCTGGAGGCTGTGGGGAACCCATGGATCTCATAGGGGCTTGAGGAGAAGGGATCGAGGGTCTAGAAGCCCCTCGCCTCCTCTGTAGCCACAGGGCTCCCTGTCTCAGCCTGGACCAGCTGCTGCCTGTCTTCTCTGTACCCTCCACACTGTGGATGTGCCAGCATGTTTTTGAGTTGGTGTGCCTGTCGCTCACTCCCTCCAGCCTTAGTCAGTGAGCTCCTAGGAAGCAGGGTCTGAGATACTCATCTTTTTAACAGCCTGTCTGGCATGTAGTAGATGTTTTTGCTATAGAAGGCTGTGTTGCAGAGCTTTTCCTCCATCCTGAAAAAAAGAAAAACTGCCTCCCCTTGTTCTGTCTGTCCTCTGAGCATGTCTTTGCTAACAAGGCATTTGAGCTAATGATGAACATGTTTTCAAAAGGCAGAGACTCTCCAGGCTTTAGGAGGGAAAGTTCTGCTACATGAAAGTATGACCAAATATGAGTGTGCACAGTAGTGCAGAGGACAGAGAGATGGACAAAAAGCACAGACTCTATGGGGAGTCCTGGCAAGACAGGGATGAAGAGGAAAGACGAAGCCAGCAAGAAGCGTCTTGCCCACCTATCCCGCTGAGGGGACGATACCACTCACTCACCCCTTACCTAGCACTATGCCCTCTACTGCCTTCTGCCAAGCCACACTGCCCAGTCCCCACTTAGCAGAGACAGCAAAGGGATGGCTGAGCCCACCTCCGCCCACCACACCCGGTGTCCCTTGGGAGGGACTCAGCTCCTGACCTCCTCAGGGCCTGGCCCCACTGCCACCAGGCTACTCCTCTGACAATGTGGTTGAGGCAACCAGAATGGGAACCCAGACATTCCTGAACTCACTTAAGTCACACAACAAGTTTTCGACTAGGATAGGAAGTTGTGGATTCCAGTACCCCTGCCCAGCCCCCTTCCCGGTCAGAAGGCTGTTGAGTGGTGCTCTCCACCCTTTGCCTTTAGAGCCACTCACAGGAAGTGATTTCTTGTGCCAGGGAAGCAACTGGCATGGATGCACTCTCCCCACCTTTCGTCACAGCCAGGTGCTGGTTGCCAGCTGGGGCCAGCACGAATATCAACTGACATTTCCTCACTTTTCACTAAGTATTTTCACAGATGCAGGTGCGCTGAGCTGCCCCAGTGTGTACTGACTGGTATCACCCCTGCATATGGGTAAGTGAGGCCAGAGAGAGTAAGTGGCCCAATGTCACACAGCTTCTGTGTGGGAAGCAGCCCCTGCCTCCGGACCCCAAGTGCTCCACAAGCAAGAGCTCTGCTGGGCCTTCGGGCTGTCGGGCTGGAGAAACACCGGAGTGCTACTCCCACTACAGTCAATAACTCTGCAATTCAGAGAAGTCAATCTTTAGGGCATCTAAGCCCTCATCTGTAAAAGAAGGATCATAATGTTGCTCTAGAGCTGGGTATACCCCTGTAGTTGCAGAACCTGGGAGGCTCAGGAGGGTCACCTTAAGTCAAGGCCAGCCTGGTCTACATAGCAAGACCCTGTCTCAAAAAAGCAAAACAAAAACAAAACCAAATTGCTCCAAAGGACTTAGTAGGGTTATTGTGAATATTAATTGAGATTACTGATTATAATGGGAATTCACTATGTAGCCCAGGCTGGCTTCAAGTTCCCAGTGATCCTCCTGCCTCAGCCTCCTTAGTACTGGGATTTCAGGCACGTGCCACCACACCTGGCTTTAGGGAGGTTGTTTTGTTTTGCTTTTTTTGAGGCAGAATATCACTATATAACTCAGGCTGGCCTTGAACTTAAAGCAATTGTCCTTCTGAGTGCTGAGAATATAGGTGTATACCAGCACACCTGGCTGTAAGAAATCTCCCTCTCTCCATACCCCTTGTTCTTTTCCTCCCTGCCTACCCAATTGCTCTTGGTCCTCTAGAGAAGGGACAAAGGATTCAAGGGAAAAGGGGAGTCAGACAGAGAAGGGCAGAAGACAGAGGGCAGAGGGAGGGGTCAGAGATGGAAGAGGCAGCAAAACAGATAGTGGAGCCTGACGAGGCTAGCAAGGACAAAGGAAAAGCAGGCCTATCTAATTGCATTTCTTTTCGTCTTCATTTTTCCTTAAAGTTATGAGGAGCCAGGTGGGGGGGGCAGTGCACACCTGTCATCCCACTTACTCAGAAGGCTGAGACAGAAGATTTGCAAATTTGAGGACAGCCTGAGCAAGTTGGCAAGAATCTAACTGAAAATTCAAAACAATTTTTTTTTTTTTTTTTTTAAGGCTAGGGCTGTAGCTGAGTGGTAGAACTCTGAGCAGCATGCACAAGGCCCTGGGCTCCATCCTCAGCCCTGGGGCAGCTGTGGGAAGGCAGGTAAGAGAATACGAGAAGGCTAAGGAAATAACATCAGCCTTTTGCCCACAGCTGACTGCAGGCCTGAAAGAGGTTCTTTAGGGACCTGGTCCTGGGCAGAGAGCCTAGGTGCCTCAGTTTCCACTGGCTGTGCCTTTGGGTTTTTGTTACCATGGGAGTGAGCGTGGAGAACTCAGAGACAGCTCATGGACAGCTCTTCTCTGAAGCACCCCTAACCTAATTCTTAAGCCTGAGACAACAATGTCTCAGCTCCACCCCTGCTCACACCCAGCCCTGGGAAACAAACCCAGCCTCTCCATTCCAAGTTTACACTACCCAGGGTAGCCATGCAAGGGGTGGTTTGGGCTCAGGGTACCAGTCCTGATGGGAAGGAAGGGGTGGAGGGAGAACTGCTCTTCTGGACTTCTGGCCCAGCCCTGCCACTTTAGTAGTTGTGGGACATGAATCAAGGTAACTTCCCAGAGCCTCAGTTTCCTCATTAGTAACATAAGGGTGACATCTATCCTGCCAAACCTCCACCCTTCCTGCTTGGGACTGTGGCAAGAATGGAGTTAGATGACAGGGATGACAAAATCTTTAAAAACAATTCCAAGGGAATTGTTAAACCTTGGGAAGGCCCCTCGCACACACCTCCTTTTCACACCAGCCTCACAAACAGGAATCAACCAAAAGATTACAGAAGGAAAACTCATTAGAGACCAGAGGTCCTAAGGTCTATTTACTTCAGTAACCAATGGAGCCTAGCGTCCCTCACAGATGTGGGGAGCAGGGGTTCTGTGCCCCAACCGCGTGCACAACGATGGGGGGGGGCTATCGGCTCTCCACATGCTCCTGGCATAGGACAGGCTGCTGCCTACCGCGTTTGCGCCAGCAGGGCCCCTCTCGTACGGAGTAGGACAGCTCCACGAACTCGATGTCCACCGCAGAGCGCTTGGGGAGATGGGAGAAGCGCTGGGCCTCTGTGATATGGTTCTCCACCTTCTTCAGGTGCGTGGTCAGCACAGGGGGCTCCGCCCCGTCCTCCAGCGCCACGGCCATGGCCACAGCCCCCGGCCCTAGCGCACAGCCCACGGCCTCCAGCGCCTTCTCCGCCATCGCCGCCGGCCTGCAGAGAGAGGGCCTGCTCGGTTCAGGGCGGGCCCGGCCCCAGCTTAATACCCCTTGCTTCCTAATGCTGCCCACCCCACCTCCTTCCCAGGGCAGATCCTCAGTGGTTAGTAACCCAATCCGGGCCTGGGTATCTGGCCCCGACCGCACGCTCCCCCTCGGCGGCTCAGCCTGCTCTGCTCGGTCCCTGGCAGCCCCAGCCCCAGCCGGCCCCCGCCTGGCCTAGCCCGGCCGCTCGGAAGCCGCCCCGCGCCTCCTCCCGCTCGCCTCTAATCTCCTTACGCCGCCCGATGCTCGGGGTCGGGGAGGGCGGCGGCGGCGGAGCTGCCCGGGAGGTCGGAGCTGCGGGGTGCGCGCAGGGCGGACCCTGGAAGGGTGCGGGAGGGGAGGCTCCGGGCGCCCGCGGCGTCCCCTTCCGCGCAGGGCTCCTTTCCCTCGCCGGCGACCCTGCCCGGCACCCCCGCTGTCCCCAAAGACCCGCGCGCCGGCAGCCCGAACCTCGGGGCTCACTGCTCTCATCCCCGCGCCCGGTCACCTTGACGCGTCCCGGGCCGTGCGCGGTGGAGGCGCTCGGTGCTGTCCGGGCCGGAGACGGATCCGCGCTCCCTCACCTGGCTCGGCTGCGGCACC